GCCCGCTGGCTCCTGGTCCCGGGGGGCCGCCTTGGGGGCGGAGGGTGGGAGAGGCGGGGGTCGGGGAGTGGGAGGCGCGGGGGGTGGGAGAGGCGGAGGTGTGGGGGTGGGAGGGGTGGTGCTGGAGGTTCCCACGAGACCCGGGTGAATGAATGAGCCGTGGAGAGCCCGTGCACAGTGGGGTGGACGGAGACGGCAGCGCTGTGCTGTGGCTCTGTACGGGGTAAATGCCCTACTTTGGGCAGTCAGCACAGAGTGTAAGTGTATCAGTAACGCGAATCGCTCAAACCGACACACGGTTACATGTCAGCTGTAGCCAATAATCCTGATAATAAGGACCGCCATCCGTTCGGCACCTGCTACTTTCCAGCCCTAACTCCACCAATCCTGGCAACCGAGGGGTGGTACGTGAGCCCAGGGCCCCTCTTCTGAGCCCCGTGTCACCTAGTGATGCCGGACTCTCAGGACCTCCCAGGCGGGGTGGGAGTGGGGTGGGCAGGACCAGCCCAGCCCGGGCCCGAGGACCTGACCCCTGCGTCTGGTCCCTGTCGCAGTATGAGATGTACAGCATCGAGCGCAATGCGGAGCGGACGGCCACCGCCGGGAGACTGCTCTACGACATGTGAGTGGGGACGCTGGCCTGGGTCTCTCACGAGGTTTTGTGCCTGTCTGTGGAAGCGGGAGTTGGGGGAAGATCTTCAAGTTCATCTGCAGGTTTGGTACCTAAAGCGTCCGTAGTCATGAGTCTAGGCCTTCCCTTAATTGCTGACATGCTTTCTCGAGAGAAGTCTTCTTAGGTTTTATTCTCGTTAAAACTGTTCTGTCCAATACTTTATTTTGGAAAATAAGACCGGCTCTTCGCAGTTCAAACAATAAGTGAAATACAGAGAACAGTAAGTGAAAGGCGTTCCTAAACTGAACCGGAGTTAAGTTCTGTGTGTATTGTATACATATATACCTGATACATCTCAGTGGTTTTGTGGGGAGGGGTTATGGCATACTACTTACATCACCCGCCTTGAGGATGGACCCTTTTCCATGTCAGGGTGGAGGGAATTTACTTCAGTCTTTTTCATGACTGCATAGCATTTCTTCTTTTTTTTGTAGTATAGTCAGTTACAATGTGTCAATTTCTGGTGTACATCATAAAGTTTCAGTCATACATATACATACATATATCTGTTTTCCTATTCTTTTTCATTAGAGGTTACTACAAGATATTGAATATGGTTCCCTGTACCTGCATGGCATTTCATAGCCGCTCTTTTATTGGTGGATATTTAGTTTCTAGTTATTTGAAATTATATTCGGAATGTCAGTAAGCAATTTTGTACTCACATTTTGGTGTCTTTCTGTAGAATAGGTTCTTAGACATAGATTTTCCTCTTCAGAGGATATGCACATTTAAAATTTTGATACACTGTCAAATACTCTCCAAAAAATACCGTGCCAGTTGGCATCTCCACTGATGATGTGTAAGAGTGCTTGTTTTCCGACACCTTCGGCAGCATTGGATATTATCAGGCTTTCTGTCAGATGGTACCTTTTGCCTGATAGGAGGAAATGGTGTCTTGCTATTTTTAGAAATTTGTGTTGTATTACTAATAAGGCTGAGTATCTTCTCAAATGTTTTGTTTGACTTTTTGTATATTTTTCCTGTGATTTGCCTTTTCCAGTTTTTCCTTTTGTGTGGGAGGATGTGTGTGTGTGTTTTCTTGTTGCTATTTAGGAGTGGTTTACATATTATGGTCACTTGTCTTTTCACTTATAAAAAAGCCTCTAAAGACTTTCTTAGTTTTTATTTTTATATCTTTGTTTTGGTTTGTTTTGGCACATCTATGTATCCCCTTGTAATAAAGTAAAAAGTGCTTTTCTCCAATGCTAATGTTTTATGTTCTTTTTTGGATACTATATTGACTCTGACACTTTTTTAAAAATAGGTTTGTGAATTTCCCAGATCAGCCGGTGGTGTGGAGAGAAATCAGCATTATTACATCAGCATTAAGAAACGACTCACAGGATAAACAAACCCAGTTTTTAAGAAGTAAGAATGAAGTGGGAACTTAACAGTGTATAAATTAATTATTTCTGGCTTACCAAGTTCAGTGTAGTAATTTCACAGAAAAGTCATGTCTGTGGTATCGGTGCCCATGTGTAGGTTTTGTTCTTGGCAACTGAAGCCTGTACAAATGACGTCGCTTGGTCCCTTGAGCATTTGCTTAGAGCCCTTTAAGCTTCCTTTAAAGGATATGGATACAAAGTTAGCCTTGGAAACTGAATACATTTTTCAACAAGTTCTACAGTAATCAGAAAGCTTCTGTAGATCTCCACAAAACAGGAGAGAAACTTGCAGTAATTTATGACCTTTCCCATTAACCTTCACTCTGTGTTGGTTGCTGTAGCCAATCCAAGATTTCAGATTCTGCATAAAAAAGAAAGTAGATTATTTAGGTTATTTCAACTTAAGTGTGTGCTTTTTATATCAGCCAGCAACAAGCACCATTGTGACCCTTCCCACACACCATTCTTCTCTTCTGGATCCAGTAAGGCCTCTAAATAATTTTCTGGTCATTCCGCAAACCTCGTTTGCCCAATACTGCCTGACCCAAAGCCTTCCAGGTTGTAGGAGAAACCCAACAATAGTGATTCTTCCCTTGGTGTATAGTGTTCTGTGCGTGTAACGCCTTACTTGCACTTGCACTTCTGTGTTTTCTTTGTGAGAAACTTTTTAAAGTGAGATATGTTGTCTCCAGGTTTATTTGAAACTCTTCCTGGCCGGGTCCAGTGTGAAATGTTACTAAAGGTTACAGAACAATGCTTCAACACTTTGGAACGATCAGAAATGTTGCTTCTACTTTTGAGACGCTTCCCTGAAACGGTGGTGCAACACGGGGTAAGATTTGATCCTTTCCTTTTTCTTAAAAAGAAGTACCATCGTGGGGGATGATATAGGTCAAATGGTAGAGCGCATGCCTAGCACGCACGAGGTCCTGGGTTCAATCCCCAGTACCTCCATTAAAATAAAAAACGAAAAATGAATAATAAATGAATAGACCTAATGACCTCTCCCCGCCAAAAAAAATTGCAATTGATCGGTGGACTCACAAGTATATTTAAGAAGCTATCGTGTGTATTACTGTAAAGCAGAACTTCTGAGAAGCACTGGATAAGATCAAACCAAGGAGTCTTTGTCAGTAAAGCTAAAAGGGTGTCATTGTTACCAAACTTTCTGAATCTCCAGTAGAAGTCATCTTACCAGTGTAAGGAGACAGCACCGGGCTTTGACAGTGCTGTTTATCTGCGACTGGTAAAATACCATGAGGTTTAAGAAAGTAATCTGTTCCACGGTGTTCCACAATGTGTTTGAATTGAAAGGAGAGCCTTAGTTTGTAGTCTTACCGGGCACGTTTTTCACATGCTTGTGCTGTGGACACTGTCTTCCGTCTACTCTGCCCTCTCCTCACATCTCTGACGATATTGAGAGCTACTGGCCGGCATTGGTAAGTGTTAGGTATGTCCTGTGCTCCTCAGATCCCTTAAGATAGAGAGTATGTGACTTCAGAGATGATGAAACGGAGTCTTAAATGTGTTGGTAACTTCCCATAGCCGGCCAATGGGAGAGGTGGGAGTCACATCCTTAACTCTCCTAATTCAGACTCTTGCTGATCCCTTCCCTCGCTGCTTTTCTGGCTGCTGGCCCCAGTTAACCTTCCCTGTACCTCTGGATTTTAGCTTCTATAACAAAGTACCAGAAACTAGGTGCCTTAAAACAGCCAAAGTTTATTCTGTCCCAGTGCTGGAAGCTAGAAGTCCAACAGCAAGGTGTGGCGAGGGCCGTGCTCCCTGGGGAGGCTCCAGGGAAGACTGCTCCAGGTACCTCTCGTGGCTCCTCACCAGCAGTCCTTGTCATTTGTTGCCTGTGGTTTCATCACTGCATTTCTGCCTCTGCTGTGACATGGCCTTCTTCGTGTGTCTGTGTCCCTGTGTCTTTACATGACTTTATACGGGTACCAGTCATTGGATGGACCCAGTATGACTTCATCCCAACTAATTGCATCTATGAAGACCTTTTTTTATAAGATAAAAATATATAAAGTCACATTCTGAGGTTCTGAATGGACATGAATTTGGGGGAAGACACTAGTCAGCCTGGGACACACTGATCATTAGTCTGACTTTTCACTTTTGGTCTCATGTCATCTTTCACCTCATTCCCCCTCCCCTCACCCACGCAGCCCCAAGTGATTGCAAGGAAGATAACACGGATGGCTCGGGGGATTTTCATAAGCCAACTTTCTATGGTGCTAGGACATTAGTGATGGAGAAGTGGCCTTGAGACTCAAATGGCTCTGTCCAGCATTGTCCAGGCTGTCTGACTGGCTACTCCTGGCAACTCTTGAAAGTACTAAGTTTTGCCTACATAATACATTTTTTTTTTAATTTTTTGGGGGGGAAGAGGTAATTAGGTTTATTTATTTATTTTTAATGGAGGTATGGGGGATTGAACCTAGGACCTTGTGCGTTCTAGGCATGAACTCTACCAGTGAACTTTTTAAAAATTTTTTTTTAAATTTTTGGGGGATAGGTAATTAGGTTTATAAATTTTTAAATTTTGCAGGGGGTAGGTAATTAGGTTTATCTATTTATCACTTTTGGTGGAGGCACTGGGGATTGAACCCGGGACCTTGTGCATGCTAGGCACGTGCTCTACCCCTGAGCTATACCCTCCCCTACAGAATACATCTTGATGTAGAGACTACAGTTTGTTTCCACGTTTCTTAGAAACATCTCGATGTCTGTGTTATTCTGACTAGTTCCAGTGCTTCCTTTAAGTCTCTTAGACGTTCTGTTAGTGTTTTAATTGTACGAGTTCAGAGAAGAATATCCCAGACCAACTAGTCTGTGGTCAGGTGAACGTGGGGTTCCCGTCCAGGGTGTATAGCTGATGCATTCTTTTGTATTTTAGCCTTTAAAGTGAGATTATGTGTGTCTTGGGGAAGTTTGAATAATTACAGACTATGTGGTAAATAAAATATACTTTCTTCATGTTAGTCTGGCACCTGAAACTGTAACACATTGAAATGATTGATTGTGCTTTGAAACAGGTTGGCCTTGGGGAAGCACTGTTAGAGGCTGAAACAATTGAAGAACAAGAATCTCCTGTTAACTGCTTTAGAAAGTTGTTTGGTAAGAAAAATTACATTTTGTATTAATTCCTTATATAAGTAGAATATGCTGGGGTAAGTATCATTCAAAAAATAAGGTCATTGGGGAAAGCAGAGGAACTTTTCATGTTATGGAACTTAAGTTTTTGTTTACTTTTTCAGTCCAGAAAGCATTTTAACCAGTTTCTAAATTCTTGTTATGTAATGGTTGATACCCGTGAAAGACTGTGTAACCACATATTTCAGTACGAAGCATAGTAATAGACAAGACATGTGCATTACCACCCAGACACCACCCATCATGTAGAGTCTGCCTGTGTGTTTTCTTGCTGACTCCGTCCACTGGTGTCCCTCTGCTCAGCAGTTTTAAAATAAATGTGCCGTAAGGGTTTTTTTCCCCTTATGTATTTTAGAGACCTATTAAGTGAACTTTAAAATGAATTTTGTTTTTGCCAGAACCCTAGAGTACAGAAGCAACTTAATTGGTTTTTGCTCATTTTTCCTCTTCAACAGTTTGTGATGTCCTTCCTCTAATAATTAACAACCATGATGTTCGGTTGCCGGCCAATTTATTGTATAAGTACTTGAACAAAGCAGCTGAGTTTTATATCAACTATGTCACTAGGTCTACTCAGACAGAGAATCAGCATCAAGGTGAGCGGGAATCTGCAATTTCTTTCATTTTTCATTTTATAAAGCTTCAAGCTTAGAAATCTGTCAGCATTCTGATTATTCTCCTCCGGGTGCATACTAATCTTTCTAAAAGACGATTCCTATGACAAAAACACTACAGTTAAGAGATGAGACTTTCCTGGAACCAATTTTACCCCTCAGTTGGAACAGTCCACCCGCTGATCTGTGAGAGTAGCTTCAACCATGTTCCACGGCACAGAAGTCACTTCTTTCTGTACCAGCGGCCAGTTGTGGGTCTTTGAACAAAACACATGACGTGTTTCAATTCTGTGCTCTCGCCTTTTGAATGGAGAGTCAGATGGTTTTTTTCTCGATTAAATACAGCGTAGCTAGTAAGTAGGAATGTTAATCGTAGGCTTCTTTTTTCTCACATTTCAGGTGCCCAAGAAACATCTGATTTAATGTCGCCTAGCAAGCGCAGCTCTCAGAAGTACATAATAGAAGGGCTGACAGAAAAATCGTCCCAGATTGTGGACCCTTGGGAGAGGCTGTTTAAGATTTTGAATGTTGTTGGAATGAGATGTGAATGGCAGATAGATAAAGGAAGACGGTAAAAAAAAAAATTGCTCATTTCTAGGATTGGGTAACAAATCTTTTGATAGCGTAATTTTTGAAAAACAAGAACACATTTCTAAGAGCGTGTTGTGTAGGTGCACCTCCCTCTTGGCAAATTCTGTGGCAGTTGGTATTTATGCAGAAGAGTATGGTTTTTCACTTTATTAAAAAATTCCCCTTGGAAGAGTGAACTATTAAGCTGATGTTAAGTGTGAAGCACTCCTTGGCATTAGGAGGGAAGAGAGACTGCTTGGCATGTTTGTCCCTAAACATCCTAAAAATCTCAGCCTCCTCACTACTCTGAATCAGAAGGGGAATATGCATCCACACTCAGACGATGAGGAATAATTTCACATACCTAGAGCCACGTTTGGTCAGTGTGATGGTTCTGTTGTTGCTTTGTCTAGACCCTTGGCCGACCAGCCCAGAGTAATCCAATAACTTTGATTATCCTTCATCTTTCAGAAGCTATGGCGATATTTTGCATAGAATGAAGGATCTATGCAGATACATGAACAACTTTGATAACGAAGCTCATGCCAAATACAAAAACCAAGTGGTCTATTCCACGATGCTGGTCTTCTTTAAGAACGCATTCCAGTATGTCAGCAGCATACAGCCGTCTCTATTCCAAGGTTGGTTTAAGAATTTTAGAGGTTCCCAAAGTACTGGCCTCACTGGGGAGGGTGAGGAAGATGAGAATGCTTACCTTAACCCTGTTCTTGGGTCCAGGTGGCCGCAGGGTGATGCCTGCGCTTTTATTAGGTGTTGATTTTTATGTCAGTACATAAAAACTTCTACATCAAAGGATGTAGTGGTCCTGTGAGACCAATACAGATATTGAATGCCTCTGTTTTGAAAAAGTAGCAGATGTAGCAAAGTATTGAAGTAGATTTCCAAACACTTTGCAGTTGAGATTTTTAAAAATAATACATATGCATATAAATTCTAGAAAAATGTGAAAAATAGAAAAATAAGAGGGTGAAACCACCCGCAGTATTTCCAGTGTAACACAGCACTCATTTTTGTGTATTACCTATATAGTCTTTCCAATATTTAGATTTGTTTGGAATTCGTAACCATAATGTTCATGTCACTTCGTAGTCTCACATTTTTGGCTAATTTTATGATTCATGATCATTGTAAAAAAAAAAAACTGTAGATATGCAAGAACAAACACAAAGAAGGAACTTTGACTTGTAGTCCGCCGCTGAGAGAGAACTTTTGTTAGCAATTTGGTGTATATCCGTGCACTCTTAGATTCTACATGTGTATTCTTATTTATGTGCCTAATTGGGATCATAGCGATCGTATTTTCTAATGACAGATTTTTAGGTGACAGTTGAGTACACATCTACTTGATACGAACTACTCTTTTCCTTGCTGCGTTTTTCAGTGTTACTGTTTTCCGTCCATCCGCAGGTCCCAATGCCCCCAGCCAGGTTCCACTGGTTCTTCTCGAGGACGTATCAAATGTGTACGGTGATGTAGAAGTTGATCGAAATAAACACATACATAAAAAGAGGAAACTAGCTGAGGGAAGAGAAAAACCCATGGTAACTTTCAGATATAATTATGAACAGACTATGTGTGTATGGGTTGCCAGAAATGAATCTTTGTAAAATATGGCCTTGGAACTAAACCGATAAAGGCTTAGATCTTTTAATTATAAGATATAATTACTGTATGAAGTGGCGGTTCTCAGCCAGAGATGCTTTTGCCCCCTGGGGCATTTGGCAGTGTCCAGGGACGTCTCTGATGGTTGTGACTCAGTGGGGAGGGGTTACTATTCGTATCTGGTGAGTGGAGACCAGAGGTGACACCAGGGATGCCACAGCCCCCCATAATAGGGCTACCCAGCCCGAAAGGCCAGTAGCAAGGCTGAGAAACTTGATAGGAGTTACTTAACACCTGTTTGAATGGCATCGATTAAATTTAAAAAGCAAAACCAAATGAACTACCTTGGACACGTCACTCAGGGTGCTGTGCTGGGCACAGGCCACAGAATGGGGAGCGCCTTGACCATCAGGGCAGGGAGTCGTCATCACCCAAGGGGAGATGTTGGAAAGGTCCCGTGAAGGAGACGAGTCCTTGGTGTCAGCCTTGCAGGAGGTTTCAGGTCTTGTCCTTTGAAATTGGGAGGGAGATTTTGTCAAGAGGGGGCAGTTTGCACAAAGGTGCAGGAAGCCAGAGAGAGTGAGGGACCATCCATCTTCTGGTCTGATTAGGGGGCAATCCTGAGATCGACCCAGGTTTCCAAACTTTTTAAGCAGAGGAATTGTTTCAAGAAAAGCTTTAGCGAAGGCCCGTTGTGTCACGTGAAGGCCAGGATGCCCTCGGTCACAGTCGGCAAACTTTCTCTCTGAAAGGCCCGGGGTAAGCATCCCAGGCTCTCAGACCCGGTCTCCCTCACCACTGCTCAGCTCTGCTGCCAGAGTGCACAGATAGCCTTTGACAGTGGGACACAGGCAACGTGGCTGTGTCCCCGCCACACCTTATTTACAAAAGCAGGGTTTGGCCTGCGGGTGGTAGGGGGCTGACCCCCGCTCTAGTGGAAATGGGGGCAGCCAGGAATCTCCCTGACTTTGGTCCCCTCTCTTCTCCTGCTTCTCAGCCCTTGAAGTAACATTTCGCTAGACCCCGGGGTGATGAGAGACAGCCCAGGGGTGGGTTTAGTCTGATGTCTCTGCAGACTCTCTGGTGTGAAATGAACTGGAGCCGGAGGATGTGGCCATTCTGAGCACGTGTAAGGGGATTAACCCTGCTGAAAAGAGAATGGTCAAAGGCACAAGTTTGCCAATAATTTCAGAGATTGATACACGCTTTGAAACCAACCATGAGCCACAGGCCAAGATGTCTGTGCTAATAGCCGGGCTTTCTCGGTGCTCCCTTCTCTCTGCTTTTTCCTTCTTTCCTGACACTCCCAGGCCGGGTCCCTGTCACTGGCTCTCCCTTCTGGTTTCTGAAGGTGGGTGCTTTCACAGTGAGACCACGTAGGTGATCAGTAGTGTGTTACTAGCTTTAACCAAGAGCAGTGCTGTGTCCCCCGGTCGTTCATTGTGTATGACGTAGCCCCGTCCATCTGTTTCTCTGCGCCGCCACCACCACCTCCCTGTCCGGCCACCCCAGCCTCTGCTCTGGGTCACCTGGGTCGTCACCTGTCTCTCAGCTCCCACTCTTGCTCCCCACGGTCTCTTCTCTACCCAGCAGCCTCAGCGGTCTTTTTCCACCGTGAATCATTTACTTTGTTGGTTGCTTGGTGTGCCGTCTGTGGCCCTTTGCCAGACGACAAGCTCCGTGGGGCCGAGGACATTGTCTGTCTCTTCCCGCCCTCTGACCTGGGCCTCCATACAGCGCCTGAGCCCCAGCGGGCTTTGGTGACCTTCTGGTGAACAAGGGATTCCCACACTTCGCTCCTGAGTTTGGATCCAGGCTGTGGTAGGGCTGTTCCCCTTCTGCTCTTCTGTTCTACCTTCCGTTCCTCACCTGTCCCGTGTCACCTCGCAGGCTCTGCTCTCAGGCTTTGGCCCTCCTGGCCTTTCTGGGGTTTCCATCCCACCGTCGGCCCCACCCGGTGCAGGCCCAGCCAGGTCTGTTTGTCCCGCTGCAGCCGGGGACGTACCCGATGGCCCATGAGCTCAGCTCACAGACAGGTCTCGATTTCTCATAGTTTGGTTTTTAGTAACCTAGCTTCTAGAACTTGGGAGCTTTCTCATCACAATCCAGATGTCTGA